CATAAACATAAGCTTGAAACTTGATAAAAAGGAAACATACTTACCTCTTCTCAAACTTACTCAACTTAAGGAATACCCAAGGATACTCAAAACTACTCAAACTTACTCAACTCAGAAGTACTCAAGGATAATATACTCAACTCAAAGATATGTTATTCAACTCTAGGTACTCAACTCTGGATACTCAACTCAATATGACTAAACTCATTTCAATATAAAGCAATTTAAAATAAGTGCAATATAAAGAAACAAACTGTTTAAAAACATGTTGAAAACTCTGTGTGTATGCAAGGATACAACATAACTCTGAAATGTATGTAAAAATACAAATAACTGTGCATATAAGAATACAATAACTTCTGTGGGAGTTTCTCTAATCGACAACCATCACTATAAGCCTAAGTGATGGTACAACGTTTTACCTCACGTTGCCAAGGACCGTCCTATACCTTGCCATCGGTATAGAACCTGAACTACTAAGTGGATCCACTAGTCTATGCTGAAAAACACTAAGGAGTCATCTAAAAAGTATGACCCTTTTTCTGCCCATGATGACTACATGGTTTATGGAGACTTAAGTTATTATGAACTCGCATCCCCATATCGGTGCTCAATACTACTCCCAAAAATATACTTAGCTTATGCTTTTAAAGCAACTTTTTTCTTTAGTTTGAGATAATTACTCAAAGCTTAGCCCAAAGGCTCTCTTGGAATCGGTGTTCCCTTTTCTTGCTCAAATGTGAAAACATTTATAAATTTCTTTGGGAATACTTAGTTCCCTAATAACTTTTGAGAAATGAACTCAACTCTTTACTCTTTGCTTAACTTGAAACTTTCAATCTTAAAATGAAGTCAAAACGTTTATAAAAGACTTTACTCTTACTTTTTACTTAACTTCAAAGCTTATGTCTTAAAACAAAGTTAAAACATTTGTAAAATACTTCTTAAAATATGGTTCATGCCGAATTAGGGACATGAATGACTCAATGCAAGGTTTTCAATAACCGTAGATAGAACTCAATACTTGGAACATAAGAACTTCAATGATACTACTCATCTTAAGATTTTTTTGACTTATAGTGTTCATGCGGAATTATGGGCATGAAATATTCAACTCAAGTACTCAAAGATGCTTCTCAAAAGGGATTTGGAACTCAACACTTAAACGCTTAAAACATGAAGATACCACTTCTCTGAAAGATGCTCAACTTACGAAGTTCATACAGAATTATGGGCATGAAATAACTTGACTCGATGGTCTACATAACAATATGAAACTCATGTATAAGACTCTTCTCATTCTCTTACTTACTTATTCAAAACATAACTCAAATCGACGGTTGATCTCAAAGGATTCACAATTGAACTCAAAGGCTTTCTTTAACTCTACTCTTAACTCTCTCTTGAATGTGAATTATGAATTCAAGAGTTATGTTTCATGATTTGAAGGATTTTGTGATGACAAAATAGACTCATGAATACATTCTCATCATTCTCATACTCACTTGCTCGAGTCTTGAAATAAGTTACTAGAAGTTGTAGAAGACTCCACAAAAAAAAACTCAAAGGGACTTTCTTAGAATGTTCGAAAGAATTCTCAAAACTTAACTCTCAACTCTACCTTGAATTTGAATTATTAATTCAAGGTTATGATCATGTTATGAATGATTTCTAGGTGTTTAGAAGTAGTTTAAAGTGTTTAGAATCAATGGGGAGTAAAAGTACCCTTTGAAAGAACTCAAACGGATGAAACGATGAACAACGGGTGGGGGCATGCGACCCTGGCACTCTGAGTGGCGTGGGGTTCCAGCCCCTAAAGTTCAGAGAGGTGGTTGGGGCGCTCTGGCTGGCGTGACACTCTAGGCCCCAACCCAGAAAACTTTGACGACTTCCTTTACTCGTTTTCTCACCCTAACTCGCCTAAAATCGAACAGTTTCTTCCCCAATCACTTGGATTTGATTACTTAACATTATTACACTCTAATATACTCAATACATCCCCTTAAAACACTCACTTTTATCTCAATAAATCATCTAAAACCCAACACAACAAGATTTTAGAATGAACTTCAAGAACACCTATCAAGAACTCAAATCTTTCAACTTCAAGAATGAAATTTGCGCTGAAAATAACATGTTTGGCGTGTGGGTGAACAAACCCCAATGCTATGGAAGCTTACATACCTCTTAGGGGATCAAACCCCATGGCGGAAATCCGCAACAAGACGCAAGAATCTCGACGAACGTTTGATCCTCTCCTCTTTTCTTTTTTTTCTCTTCTTGAACTCTCAACTAAAACCCTAGGCGTAAACTAGGATTATAAAACTGAACCTAATAGGATTAGACCCTTAAAATATTACTAAAAACGAATTAAATCTGATTGGGTAAGGAAAAGAGACAAAATACCCCTTGCTATTTTCGGCTAACTTTCTTTAACTGGACAACCTAACTTCAAAAGGCCATATCTCACTCATCCAAACTTGAAACTTAGCAAACTTGGTGGAGTTGTAAAGATAATTCAAATATCTTTCCTAGGGTATCTGGTAGCACACCTAATTCATCCTGGGCTAGGAGTTATGGTTGTTTGAAGTCAATCCAAAACTCATACTTAGCTTAACTTGCAAAATTTCAGATTTTGCTATTTCCAATTTAGTTCTTTTTGGAACACAAGGTGCTACATCTAGTGATCTTAAAAATTAAAGAAATTTTTAATTCCTTGGAAAAATCTCACTCACTACGATGAATGGTTCGAGTCTTAGTTCGAAAAAATTTCTGGGGTGTTACACAGCATGTCTCCAATCTCAACACCACTCTCATAGTTTTTGAAGCCATCTCTAGACTCCATATTAACATGCTCAAAAGTGTGATATATCCAGTAAATCAGGTGGCCAATCTAGACAAACTTGCTAGCATACTTAGTTGCACTGGGTCATTACCTACCACCTATCTAGGCCTTCCCCGGGGGGGGGGGGGAGTTTCAAATCCTCTGGAATCTGGAATGGAGTTATTGAAAAAATGGATAAAAGGCTAGCCACGTGGAAAATGCAATACCTCTCCATGGTTGGTAGGCCCACTCTTATCAACATGACAGTATTCCTACATACTGTACGTCTTTATTTCCAATACTAGGTTCAATTTTAAAGCAATGGATAGGCTCAGAAGGAGATTTTTGTAGGAAGGCAACAACCTCACTCACAAGTACTCTCTTGTTTAATGACAATCAATTATTCATCCTAAGACTCAAGGAGGCCTGGGAATCAGGAATCTTAAACTCCATAATAACAACCTACTCATGAAGTGGCTCTGGAGGTATGGACAAACTGAGGTTGGGTTTTGGAAAGACGTCATTAAGGCTAAATATGGCATTCAAGATCACTGGTGTCCAAAGGAAAGCAATGAACCCCATGGTGTTGGGGTCTGGAAACATATAAGTAGTTTCCAAGATGATTTCTTCTGGGAAGTATCCTTCAAAGCTGGTAATGGACTCAAGATCAGATTTTGGCAAGACAAATTGCTTGGGAACTCTATGCTAAAAGACTCTTTCCCCTTCTTGTTCCAGATAGCCTCCAACAAAGAAGCAATTATAGCCCAGTACAGAGACAACAACTTCTGGGCTCCTATTTTCAGAAGGAACTTTCAGGATTGGGAGATCAATGACATCTTTTCCCTCCTAGAAACTTTGGAAAGCACTACACTGGTGGTTGAAGATCAATATAGGATTCTTTGGGGTAATTCTAAGGAATAGGCCTACACTGTGAAAGAATGCTACAAAAACATGAGCTCCCAGAATGGCATTCTTCAATTTTGGCCTTGGAAACATGTATGGAAAACTAGGCAGCCTCTTAGAGTATCTTGTTTCACCTGGACAACCCTGAAGGAAGCATGCCTAACACAAGATAATCTCTGGAAAAAAGGTGTTATCCTCATCAACAGATGTGGCATGTGCAAGCAGACCAATGAGAATGTTAATCACTTTTTTTTGCACTGCCCTGCAACAGCTAGCCTATGGCATTTTTTCTACTCTATGATTGACCTACAATGGGTAATGCCCTACACCATCAAGGATGCCTATGCCAGCTGGATATTGTGGAGAATTGACAAATCCATCAGAAAGATCTGGAGAATGATCCCAGCAGCAATTTTTTGGAACCTATGGAAGGTGAGAAACAATAGATGTTTTGAAGGAGTATCAACCTCTTTTTGCGCACTCAAGGCCAAATGTCTTGTTAGTTTATTTAGTTGGCATTTTTTTGCCACTGTAAACAGTGTGGATAACTTTTTGGATTTTGTTAGTTCTCTATCTCTAGTACATTAGAGTAGTAGGGCCCTTTTGACTGTTTCTCAAGTTTTTGCCAAGCTAGCTCTATATATTTCTGTTTGGAGCAGCTTTCTTGCACATTGTGCTTTGTGACTTTGCATCTTTTTGATGCTTTCTAATATCATTTAATTACTTTACCAAAAAAAAATATGAAAATTTATGGATCGACTTCATCATCCCCATTCGATAGGCAAAAAAATGATGTGTATAATGGTGAGGCTATACATAATATTCCCAAGATTGTTATGGAAGGTCCTGTAAAAGATTTGGGAAAAAGTGTCTGGAAATTGTATTATCAAAAAATTATTTGACTAACAGACATGAACAATCGAGAGAATCGCCTAATTCCTCTTCAGTGACCCTTAAATGCTAAGAAAATGACGTGGATCATTGTGATGCTATACATATTGTTCCCTCAGGTCATTACGGAGGGTCCTGTAAAGGTTTTGAAAAAAAAGTATGAAAAACATATCACCAAAAAATGTATTGATTAATTCACACAAAAAACTGAAAAAATCGTCTAATTCTTATTGTCTGGCCCTAAATGCTAAAAAATAGTGTGGATTCTGGTGAAGCTATACATATTGTTTCCCCAAGTCATTTCAGAAGTTCCCGTAAAAGTTTTAGATAAAGAGTGTCCGAAAATCACCAATAAATTCATTGACTAATACACACAAAAAATTGTATAGTTCTCTGAAATTATTATGGAGGGTCCTCTAAAGGTTTTGGAAAATAAAATGCCCGAAAATTATATCACCAAAAAATTTATTGACTAACACACGAAAAAGAAGAAGAGAAAATCGCTTAATTCCTATTGAAAGGCCCCTAAATGCTAAAATAATAGTGTGGATCATAATGAGGCTATACATATCGTTTCCCTAGGTAATTACAGAGGGTCCTATAAATGTTTTGCAAAAAATGTGTTGGACATTATATCACCAAAAAATTCATTGACTAACACGTACGATAAATAAATAAAAAATCGCTTAATTCCAGTTGAGTGGCCCCAAATGCTAAAAAATTGGTAGGGATCATTTTGAGGCTTTACATATTGTTCCCCCGGGTCAACATAGGGTCCTATAAAGGTTTTAAAAAAAGTGTCCGAAAATTCACCAAAAAATTCATTGACTAACACACACGAAAAACTGAGAAAATTGCCTAATTTCTATTGAGTGTCTCCTAAATGCTTAAAAAATGACGTGGATCATGAGGCAATACGTATTGTTCCCCCATGTCATTACGGAGGGTCCTATAAATGTTTTGAAAAAAAGGTGTCTGAAAACCATATCACCAAAAAATTCATTGACTAATAACAGACAAAAAACTGAGAAAATCGTCTAATTTTTGTCAAGTGACCCCTAAATACTAAAAAAAATAGTGTGGATCATTATGAGACTATACATATTATTTCTCAGGTCATTACGAGGTTCCTGTAAAAGTTTTGGAAAAAAAGTGACTGAAATTCATAAATAAAAAAATTCATGACTAACACACAAGAAAAATATTTTTTATCGTTATCTAAATAAAAAATAGTGATGAATTTACTCTGATCTGTTAAAAGGGTACTTGAAGTTATTCTCTTTTTTTAACAGCAAAAAAAATAACAAGTTATTCTATTTTAATTGATAATATGAGATTAAGAAGAAAAAAAAAATGATTTCTTACAATTTCATTAGTTAAAGTGGTTCAAAAAAGAAAATAAGAATAGGAGTTTTTGAAAGTAATATTTTTATTAGGAACAAGAAGTGTTTAAAAAGAAAAGTGATAATGTACTTACTCGAAAAAGGGAATTTTTGATTCATTTAGTAATAATAGGGACATTTTTGGACCAAACTATTAATGACGAGCATTTTTGGACCAAAATATTGCCAGTAGGGCACTTATGACCAAAGTATAAATGGGAGACATTTTTGTTTATTTCACATAGTTTAGGGGCATTTTGACCATTTTTAGTACATCTTAACCGACAAAAGTGTAAACTTATAGCATTCAAAATTTATTTTCAATCTATAATGTATATTCTACTTAATTTGAAATATTACATTGAGTTATCTATTACAACAACTTTACTTGACTTGGAATATATTTGTAATTTTTCCTAGATTGATAAAATCTTTTTTTATTCATATTATAGTTCTTACTATTAAAGAAGAAGATTTAAAAAGAAAATCTTCAATCTTTTAAATTGATGTTTTTTGTCGTCTTTCTTTTCCTACTTTACCACTGCCATAATATAATTAGTAAGAAATTAAATAAGAATGCTACATTGTTGACCACTTTTCTCATTTGAAGATTTTGTAGTCCTATAAATACAGACATATTTTCTCCTCATTTTTTCACTATATCTCAAGACTCAAAGGGGAATTCCTCTCTTTGTGCTTTCATTTCTCACATACACTCGAAACTATTTTTTCAAGAAGCCAGGACAATACAACAAGGTATGTTCTTCCTCTGATACTTTCAAGTTGCAAACGAGAAAACGTGCACAATTGTTCTTGTGAAGAAAATGCTTTTCTATGAAATTCGGATTTTTGATGAAAGCACACACATTTGAAACGCGCAAGAGTGTTTTCAGAGGCAATCTTAGTGGTAAAGAACTTCATGTACAATTTCATAAAAATGAAATTTGACGTTGTAGACACTGATATTCTCTGCATGTTCTGATGCTCTCCATAAACTTCTTTTCCTTTTTTTCTTAGCATTATTGGTTCTAGGAGCGCCAATATTGCTAAAAGAAAAGGAAAATAAGTTTATGAAGAGAGATAGAACATGCAAAGAATATTAAGGTCTGTGACATCAGATTTTTCTTTTATGAAATTGCTAGTGAAGGATGCTGATAACTCTATATTGACTAATGAGCTAAATGAAAAGCAGTCTATTAGTATCATGATCAATATAATTTATCATCACAAGGACATATGGTGCAACAATTGCCTATACGAAATTATCAGTATTACCACTCTTTGCATGAAATATCCTATATGGATCTGATGACAAGAGATGATATATCATGTATTGATATAATGACAAGAAAAAATATGTCAAATTTGTATCTAATAACAACAGACGTTATGGGAAATGGAGTTAAATAATCATTGTGTTTTACCAGAAGACTAGTAGTTGATATTCTATTGAGGTTGCATGGGGAATAAACTCTTGCATTTCAAATATTTGTGCAAGCACTGATATTCTCTTATCAAAAGTCTGAGTTTCAGAGAAAAGCATTTTCATTACAAGGACAATTGTGCTCGTCTCATCATTTGAAACTTGAAAGTAGCAAACTAGACCAAACTCGATGTTTCGGATGCAATGAAACTGACAGAATCACCATTCGATGCTCAGATCCCAAAATATTTACCAAAGTCAACTATATCAAAACAATTAAAATCAAAAGGCTCAAAATCTCACCCGATCGCATTAGGGACCACACGTACCATTCTCGCAACACAAACTAAGCATGAAAATTCTAAGGAGAAGGGTAAAATGTGTTGTAATTCTTACGGAAAATACCTTCATTACGAACACTTGTACCGAATTCACCAAAGCTTGTACTTCACCAATAACACTTATAGGAAATTCTCATAACTTGAGGTGTTGTCGAAAGACGTTGTCCTTATGGATATTTCACCCTATACATGTGTATCCCCCAAGATTCAACAAGCTCTTCTAGTACAAAACTAGGAGCCAGAAACTAACAAAGATACACAATAGAAAGAAAATCCAGCACATGAAACATGGACAAAGGAGAAAGGAAAATCTCTCTTCAACTTCTTCCTTTCCTTCTTCCTTTACATGAACCAAGAAGCAAATCATTTATAGGATCCCAAATGTTTGCAGTAAATTCAAGACAATAATAAGAGGATTAATGGGTCATAAAAGATAATAATGGGAATGTTTAAACCTGAAAGTCAACTGCCAAAATATGGCTTTCAATGGTGGAAAATATTATGGAATTATGGCTAATCATGGCTAGGCATTCAATCACAATATATATATATTTAATACTCATAAACAAGATATGAAAGATGAACCTAGACAATATTATGAATACTTCTTTTTGAGATATTAGAATCATTTTTTCAACAAAATGGTCATTTCACAAATAAAAACAATTTCTCAATAAATGGGACATTACATTGTACATTTGGGAGCAATAAGTTTTTGATGCCACTATCGGGGACTTTAGAGTTAGTCCATATTTAATTTTTCTTAATCTATATATTTTCAGTGTTAAGTGTTGATAACTTGATCTTAGTTTTTTTTTTTTTTTTTTTTGCAGGCAACTCAGAAAGTTACACTAGATAATGACGAATAACTTGTGGAGCCATTTGTAGAGTCTGAACGATACTTATCGTACCAGAGATGGAAAGTGGCTCTGCAGTACCCTTTCCCTCAGGTTAAACTGGTTGAAGACAAAGCACCAGTAG